TTCTGCATGCTAGACCCAATAAATGTTACTGATTGAGTATCTATTCATTCTGTTCACCTTAACAAAGAAAAACAAAAGGAAATATGCATTTTCATGGTTTAAAAGGAATTCATATATAGACTATACATATAAATATATATGAAATTCAAATTTACCAAGGGAAGCACATATACATGCAGAACACCTTAATATTGCTATAAAAATAGAGAATGCATGTTTCCTCAACCAAGTCGCAAAGGATATAGTATTTTAAAATATATAATCTGGAGTGTCCTGACAGCATTTCAATAAATTATGTTTATTTTCTTACCTCTATCCTGACTTTATTACAGTCTTCAGGTTACCAATTGAATATACAGAGTCAAAATCTTTCTTTAAAGTTTTAAAAATTATTGATATTTTATTTGAATTTTTAAGATAAATAATTGCTTCAACCCATCAGCATATTACCATTTTTCCTAACTCTGAATAAATCTGCACTTAACTTGCTTGGATTGATGAATTTGACATCTGTGAAAAGATAAGTCCTTGAAAGACTTCTGGGTGAATCTGGGTTACATGTGAGTTGCTGATAAACTGAAAAATGCCAACAGAGGAAAATTGGATAGTGTCCTACTTACATAACTATTATATATAGTCTGGCTCCCACATATATATTTTATTCCTAATGAGTATTTGTTGGGTCCTTTTTAAATATTATGGAAAAATAGTGCTGTAAATGTGTCTTGGAGGAGTCCATGTTTGATTGCTATAGCTGTGGTTGGAGCATTTTCTGTAGTAGGCTCTATCATGAATCATGTTCTCTTCAAATCTTCCTAGTTTGAAGTACGTCAAAATACTTTATGTTGAAATTAGATGTAATGAGAATCATTGTTTTTTCTCATAACACTTTAAAAATAACTACATGGGCCTGGGATTAATGTGACATGGAAGATAGCTTGTTCTAGTACCTTGCATGATAATTGATCATTTTATGTTTCAGTTATATGTAATGCAAAATGTGTATAATACCATCAATATTATGAGTTATATGAATATTCTAAATAATGCACTAAAATACTAAGAAAAGAATAAATTTATGGGGAGAATAACGAGAGAGAAGGAAATTGCCATTCATTAGATACCTATTAAATAGTGTCATGTGAGAGGACTATTTGATTCACATTTATTTTCCCACGTAATGCCACAACAAGCTTATGAGGTATCATTATCTTATGTGAAAACTTAAGAAAATCACATTCAGAGAAGTTTAACAATGTACCTGTGGCCATGCAACTATTAAGTGCCAGTGACTTCAGGTATACATTCACTCATAATCACTTACTGTACCATGCTATCTTGGGTTATAATTCTGCCAAGATCATGGGAAAATGAGATAATTTTTGTGATGTAGAGAAGTGGTTGGGGCAAACTATCTCTAAGTTCCAGTAGAATGCCAAACATTTATGACTCAAATATAAAGAAACTTTGTTTTTATTTTTGTTTTTACTCTACTTAACATGTCTCTCAGTATGCTAAGATGTCAAACTCCCGGGCCCTGCATCCTGGGAAAAACAACCTGTCTGAGTAACTCAGATGGCAAAGGTATCTACATTAAGGTACAAAAATTACTTTATTATGCTTAAATCACATTTCTTTTCTTTTTTCCAATTGAACTATTATTTCAATATCAGTTATACAACAAGGGGTATCCCTCTTGATAAGCTAGTATAGTCAATTAAACAAGATGGTCTGTATATATGGAAAAATTAGAAAAGTGGGACTAGTTTAATGAGTGTAATAAAATATTCCGTATAAATATTCATTTATATATACATAAATATAGGCAAACTCAGGTTCAACTGCAACCTGTACATTTACTATTGCAGATTGGTAAGCATGTTTCACAGTATAATATTAAACTATACTTTCAGTATAAATATCTGAACCATGAAAATATATTTTAAAAGACCAATTTATTCTGGGTTTCAACTGAAGCTTATTTGTATGTTATCATTTTTACTTATTTCTTCTCCTTCACCCCAAATTATTTTGTAAATGATAAAAAAAAGCCACACTGAATAAATGAGAACGCTCTTGCTATTTTTTTTCTCATTTAGTTCACATTTAGTTGAGGAAGGTGAAAACATTTTTCTGTTGAATAGAATCGGCACCACTTCGTCAATTAGGTCAGGGCTTCCTGCAATTTAAAATTGACAGGAAAAGCAAAAAGTACCAGACAGCAGCACTGGTGATAGAGCTATTAGGCCTCCCAGGTTCCCTGGTCCTAAGTTTGACGTCAAATCTCTTCTACCAGGAACCAGTGCCTATTAGAAGGGTCTTGGTCACTGGCCTCGTGAGACAGAAGAAAACTAGCAGAAACATCTGAAATACTAAAGCAAGCCTGACACTGTGTTACAGTTTGATGCAGTATAACATCAAAAGAAAGAATCTTGTCATGAATAAATCATAAAAAATATTCAGAGATAAGTTTTATCTGACTGATATAAAGATGGCCACGCATAGATATAAAATGAATGAAAAAGATTTTAATATGGGCTCACGACTTCATAGTAAGGAAATAGAGCAAAGCAGAAATGTGGTTAAGAGAATAAGCTTTGAAGTCAGAAGATTGGAATTTGGATACTCACTAGCTGTGTGACATTACACAAGTCTTATGATCTCTCTAATCCAAAATTTATTGAATTATTTGTAAAAAAAGGGATATTAAGACCTATCTCTCACAGACACTTGTTTTGAGAATTAAATTGAATTATTTATACAAATACATGAGCACATTACTTGGCACCAAGTAAACACTTTAAGAATATTAAACACCTTGGTTATTATTGCTTCAAGAACTTACTGCAATTAGGTGCACACACAATTTGAAGTGATTTATCCTGGGTAAAAGAAAAACGAAAATATCAACAATTATTTAAAAGATTAAATATAACAGGACAATAAAGTAAATTATTTCCTTGTCATTAATTTGTTATGTTTTATTCTCTGGTTAACATGTGCATATGCTAATGATATCATCTCAAATGGGAATTACTAAACAGGCTCATAATTTAGAGTATCAATTGCTGTTTTTGGAGTAGTAAAATTATCAATATTTTAAACACCTATAATTTATTTATAAAACCACAGATGTCCCAAAGTAGAGTTTATATATCCATATATGTATAAAATCCAAGATGATAGCCAAAGAGATTCATCTAGTAAAATCTACCTGTGAGTACTGTATTTTAAAGAGAATCTCACAGTAAAAGCATTTCCATTTCCATATACACACTATAGATCCAAAATTACTTATAAATATTTATTTGTTTTTAAATGCATGAAAATGCTGTGCAATTGTGTCCTGTTGCATAGTCACATAACATTTTTAGTCTGAAGCAAGGTGTGATTGGCATTGTTCTCAGAGACTGTTGTTCAAATGATAAAGTTTCAGTGACTCCGTTTGCACAAACTTAGTAAAGTGATTTGATTGTGTCAGTAGATACAGGATATAAAGTTATTCTCAATCAGTAGAGGAGGGTAAAAGGAGCTCCAACAATTTAGCCAGGAGAAGAAAAAAAAAACTAAAAGATAACATTTTTATGACTTGATTTTTCTTGAAATAAGACAAAACTATGAAATTGAATTATATACGAAGAGACAAGAAAATATTTTTTGTAATTATTAACCCAGGATTTTAAAACTTTGTTAAGGCTAATTTTATTCTCACAACCATTCAATTAACAAACGGATAAGTAAATAAATAAAAATTGGGTAATGTCCCATGAGGAAACTGTGATTTTCCTTTGACAGATATCTTTAAGAATACCTTGGCAGTTTTTTGTGTCTGAACAGAGTAGGCAACTAACTACTGCTCAGAAACAGGGGTATTCTAAAACAATCTTCAAATCTCCCTTATCAAAAGTGAAACTCTAAAATAATTTCCCAATGAAAAATTCACGTCAAAACTCCGGTGATAACCAAGCCCAACACTGAATTTGGTTTTCAATTTTATATTCTTTATCATTTTAATCACCTAACTTTAAGTTTTAATCGTATAAGCTCAGTGCATTGAAGCACAAGGTCGAGGCACACTTGTGGAATCAAAACCCCAAATGTGGTATGGACTGGCTATTTAGGTTCTTATTTTGCTTGATCGAGCTCCATCCCATCTGAAACATCCCCTCTGCGAGAAGTCCACTTGGGGAAAATGGCCAGTCACCTTACCAAAGCTCTGACCTTATCCACCAGAAACTTTACATGGGGGAACTTCATCTTTTCATCACCTCCTGTTGTGTCTGGGCGAAAGTGCTGAAGGGACAGCTCCCAGTGGTTTAGATCTTTTCAGTAAGCGCTCCCAGGAAGACAGCACCCAGCCCCTCTCTGCCACAGCCATTCAAAAAATCCGAGGAGGGAACCACAGTCATCCCGGATTCCTTGAAAATTTAATTAGATTGGTGCTGAAACACACCCTCCTTCCCTAGTGTATAAAATTATTCGAGGGTGGAGAGCTACCAGGGAGGGTAATAGACGAGGTCAGAGGGGGGGAAAAAAAAATAGAAGCAGATTTTGTCCTGAGTTCTAAAAATTCCTCCTCCCCCTTTCCCATTTTCCTAATCCGAGAATGATGGAGCTCGAAGCAAAGGAATAATTCCGGAAATGAAGATATGACTCGCAAACCTAGAAAAATGATCAGGGCGATTTATTTAAACTTAAATATTCCTCGTACAAGAACCCAATACAATTCAGAGTTAAAGACACCTGTCTTTAGTCCATAATAGCATACACAGGCAAACAGTTGTCCCCAAAGATCCAAAGCCGGTTCGGAAGGGTGTTTTGCTGTCCTCTAAGCCACAGACCAAGGTGGGCTGAAAAGCGCTCCCAACCCGAGAAAGTGCGAAAGACTCTCTAAAGCCTGTAGCCAATTCCCTGCCGGCCAGAACTCTTCTACCATCCCTTCGCCATTCGTGACTCTGCAAGACACAGGGACTTAGACATGCGTGTGGGAGCGTGTGAGAGCGAGAGGGCGAGACGCGAGTGCGCTCTCCACATGTGTAACCCTGCGTCTCCCAGTTTCATAGCTTGCGTTCATTCATATGTGTGCAGTCGTGAATATTTGACCAAAGGTGGAATAGTTACACTGATCGGTTGTATTGTTAATGCGCACACCTTAAAACAGGGTGATCATAAATTGCAAGTGTGAAAAGATTCTGAGTGTAGTCCCTGTGTCTCTCCCGTTCTAGACCCTTCCCTCCCCCATTCCTACTCCCCCCCAAAAAGGGAAGCTCGCAGCAGATTGTAGAAGGATTTGAGCCTGCAGCTAGAGAGAAGTGGATTAGGACCAGAGCGGTGCAAGTTAAATTGTGCTGCATATAAAATATGGGCGGATTGGTCTCCAGATCCAGAGGCTGGTACCACCTTCCTTTCTAAAATAAAATCTCTCTGGCATGAAGTCACCGCCTATTTCACATCCGGTTTGCCCTGGGACGTATTACTACTGTCTTGGTAAAGAGAAATCTTTTGTTGTATAGCTGCAGATTGGATATTGGGAAGCAAATTTGGGTGTGCAATCTTCAGCAGAGGAGCACGCAGAGTCCATGATGGCTCAGACCGAGTGAGTGAGCGGCGGAGCGAGGACGCCCCTGCGCTCGGCGCGCCCGCCCGGACTCTCAGACTCGCGCCGGCTCCGGCTCTCCACAATTCTCTCGCGCAGACTTTTCCCGGTCTTGAGCGATCCCGTGCCCAGAGGGGGCCGGAGGTAAGTGCGGGTTCGGACCGCGATGCTCTGAGACCTGAAAGTGGCTTTTCCTAGCTGGAGAGACGGGAATGCAAGAGAGGAAAAGACAGAGAGATAAAGAGAGAGAGCGAGCGAGCGAGGGGGAGAGAGCGAGCAAGCGAGCGAGAGAGAGCTAGCAGGACAAGAGCCCGATCCCATACCAGGTAGAAACAACGAATGTTTTTCTTTTAGGGTGAAAACCGCAGCAGTATAGGGGCATTATTTTTTTCCGCTCTCTTTTTTCCCCCCTTTCTCAGGCATATTTGATTTTATTCCAAGGGGTGGGTGGTGATATGTTGTTTTGGTCTCTCTCTCTCTCTCTCTCTCTCTCTCTTTTCTTTTTTTTTTTGCAAGGGGGAGCTAGGGTGAGTTGGGGAGGGGCGTTGGGGGCCATCACCTAAAGTTAAGACACTGAGACAGAAAACCTGTCTCCCAGTTCCATCCTAGAGAAGGCACTCTGTCGTGTTGGCTGCAAAATTGCCTCTTTTCTCCTTTCTGGTGGACGTTGCTCAAATGCCCTCTGGTGTAGGGGTCTCTCCCATTCTGCACATGAAAAACTCAACTTATTCTTTGATATGAGTGGCGTGGGATAGAGGTGTTTGGAGTGTGTGTCTGGGGGAGGGGGCAGGTTGAAGGTGGAAAGTGGTAAGGCGGTGGTTTAGCTTCTTTTAAACTATTATGTTTTTATTTGCAAGAAACTTTCTCACTCAACAACTGAAGTGCCATGATAGGTTTGTTTTTCTCTTCTTAAAATATCAGAGCAGGGCAAAAAGCTATGGTGCTTTGCCTCAGGGTTTTGTTGTGTTTTGTTTACCCCTTCAGGAATTCCACCTCTTTATAAAGATCAACGAATATTAATAGGGCTAAGGGAAGTTGTTTTCTCTTCATAACAGATGTTAAAGATTAATCAAATGGTAAATTATAATGGTGCAATTTAGATGCAATATTTTAACATCATAATATTTATCCAAGATTTCTTGCCGTATTCGACTCATCAATGTCAAAACCAGTCACTAAATTAAGTAAAAGCTATGATGAGGCTCACAGTTTTTATCTCGATCATTTCTCTCTAAACATATTATGTTTCATTGCTTACATGCCTGTTTGTAATGGTTTTTACTGATTTAAATGACTCCCAAGAGTGTGGAAAGCATTTTGTAGATGGACTTGGAGGAATACCACATTAAACTATAGAGTGTTTAATGAAAAAATAAGCTTTAAAAGACTTGCAATCCATTAATCACTGACCCTCCTAAGGAGTATAGATTCAGGGAAGTACTAACAAATATATTTCTCATATTATGGTTGTAATTAATTATAGCACATTAAAGTAAAATGTTACCATATCTGCTCCCCAACCAGGGAGTGCACTGAATTTCAAAAATCAGCTCCACACATAGACTATATATATTTTCAATTCTCTACGCTTTCTGTACTCCATTCTTCCAGCACCCCACTACCAAGTCTAAATTCAACAATCAAATGGTGATTGATTGCACTTTACCTAAGAGGGAAAAAAAGATCCCTTTATTCATGCAAAGCAAAGCACTCCAGCTTCCCATCTGTTTCAGATGAAACATTTTCTAGCAGCAACCTGGCAGAATTTGAGAGGGCTCAAAAGATACGTGTAGGCATGTTCGTGTGCATTTGTGTGGTGTGGTTTGTATGTGAGAGGGAGATCAGCACATGGCTTGACTATAAAGTGTGTCCTTTAGCCTTGCAGAAGCTTTAGGGAGCATATTTAATAAGACAATCACAGGCACAGAATATAAGCACGATTCCGGCATTCAACAGTGTGTTTCCAATGTTTTTAAAAAGAGAGTAAAACAATTGCTTCTAAAATAAAGGTACATCCAGAATTCAAAGATAAATTCAGTCAACAGAGCATGTTGACCTACCTCATCCCACCCCCAAACATGTTCTCCCTGTTAGAGACACTAGCCTAAAATTTTTAATGCACAGCCAGTTGTGGGAACTCAAATCAGAAAGGTCAAAATGTTCGGATGATAAACAACAGGAAGAGAATAAATCAAACCATATGGTAAATATAGAACCTAGAGCAAAACGAATCACAGTTTTTATGTTGAGCAATCTTCTCACCTGAAAGCATTTCAACTCCTATTTTTTACAGGAGAAATTAAGACACTGATACATTTCTGAATGGAGAAATGGAAGGGAAAGTGGAGAATGGAGGGTCCAGGTTCCCATTGCTTCCAATGAGGTGTCATATCCCAGTGAGGTCATTTCCTGACTTCAAAGCATTCATCTAAACTGCCTCAGTCAGCCCTAGTGGTTATAACCTGATGTTTCTTGCAAGAGACATTGATCTCTACTTATTCTACTTTTCAGCTGCTCAAGCCCGCAATGAAGAAAAGTCCAGGTTTCTCTGACTGTCTTTGGGTCTGGACCCTCCTTCTGAGCACTTTGACTGGAAGAAGGTGGGGATACTTTATTTTAAATTTGCATGAGAATTTCTGTAACTTTTCATTTATTCCATCAGGGGGAAGAAAATTGTCCTTGGATGAATTCATGACTCAGGGAATTCAAAAAACTTAACTGCAACAAAATTCCAGCTAAGAATAAAGAAGAGTAGTATGAAAAAATAATCATCTTATGTGCATGTTAGTTAGAATACACTTAACGAACCTTTGTTAAGGAATGTGTTAATTCAACATTTAAGCCTTAAATTGAACTTTAAACTGTTTAGTTGTGACTGAACAAAACATGCGGTTTACTAATTCATAGAAAAAGTTACCCCAATTAATGTTTGCATATTGTGTGAGTTGATTTTCCTACAAAAAAATTTCTAGCCAACTGTAAAGATCATAGAGTAACTTGTGAATATATAGAAGTAGAACGTTTAAAATAATATTTGTAAGTTGAAAGTTATAAGTTTCTATAAATGCGTGTACATATTATGTTTTGAAACCATTATTTTAAACCAGTAGGGGTAGAATATACTAGACAAATATTTAAGAAACTTGAGTAGGTAAAATTGAACTTCTCTAATTAAGCATAACTACTCTGAAGACAAGTTATGAAAAAAATTGATAATAAGCTTAACCATTATTTAAAATATTTTCTAATGATTCAATCAAGCATATAATATTCTTATAGTAGTAACTATATAAATGACCAAGTACTTTGGATTCTTCTTTATCTGATTTTATATTTCTTGTGTAGCCTGTTCCTGTGGCCCATAAGAAAGCCTTAGACATATTATAAAACATGGGTTTATTCAAAATGTGACGGAAACTGAACTCTTCTTATGAGTTAAGGTAGAGAGATAGAATAGTCTGGAAAGACATATGAATTTAGGAAGCTTTTTCAAAATTGAAAAGTCATCTGTTGTTATTTTTTGCTATTGTGTGGGGTAAACACTGACCACCAAGTGAACAGGACATGCATTATTGTCAGATAACCTTAATCTGAGAAGTTAAATGGTTTTTACTGCTTTTGAAAAATTATATGAAGTGTTACTATTGTAATGACCTGTAGATGGAGTTAGTGCACAGTGTTTTATTATATAGTGGTTCATATGGAATGAAAATCGGGTACTGTAACTGTCATTTCTCTTCAAAATATATATTAAGTTTAGGAAGCACTACTTTGGCATGAATGTTTAATGCCAAATAAATAGTCTTGACCTTTTTCCTGGAGTTCTTCTCTGACAATTGCAATTTGACATAGTAAGTTAGAAGTAAAGATGAAGAAGAACCTGGTTGGAAAGTCACATAAAAGAAAGATTTCCATTCCAATTGGGATAGCGGAACTGGTCTTCTTGGAGAAGGGTCAGGGGTCTCTTTTGGCGTTTTCATTGCTATGCAAACAATTGGTGAAAGCAATGTTTATAAGATAAAACTGGGGGAAAAGCATCTCCTGAATTTTATATAAGCTGTAAAAACAGGGGTGCAGGTAAAGAGAATAAACACCCCATATTGTAAGAATTGTATTAACTATGTAATTGTACTTTGTCTTATTACCCTGTCTCATCTTTTCCCCCCTTCTTACTTTATTGCTTTCTTCCTTAGAGTTCTTGATCAGGATCTCCTCACAACTTAGGGTGTGCTAGCATTTCTTTTCCATCTTTATCAAGATGACCTTCCAACATCCTTGAAAGATGCATGCATGGCAGTTGGTTTTGTGACAATGAGTTTTTATAAATAATTGCATTCAGAACACTATTTTTGCCTTACTGCTGTCATCTGCCAATGAGATGTACTGGAAGACACAGAGCTCGTTGAAAATTTGATTTAAAAAACCAGCAAGATGCTTAATTTTGCCAAAGGAGACTAAACCCTCAATCTGCATGACATGGATGCTGAATTTAGGAGAATGAAAAATTGTTTCATAGAGGCACATTTCATATATTTAATATTATGGATATCCCTTAGCTATAATAACTTTATTAAATTACAATTTTATCAGAAAAACGGTCATTGCATTTTGCCAATACAAAATTAATTACCTGCAAAACAGTGTTTGTTTTTGAAATGGTATTATGATTATATTTCTTGCTGCTGTGAAATAAGTGAATTCTGGTTTCAAATGTTACTGTTTTTCTTATATTTTTCAGTAATATAAACACACAAGTCAAAATCATATTAAGTAGAAAGTAGGAAAATGATAGATTTGTGACAATCTCTTAGTTTACACCCTATATTCATTTTATTTTACCCAAGGTCAGAGCTATTATTTAAATATATCAGTAAATGTGATCCATCCTAAGATAGAAAACATTGCTCTTAAAGGATTTTGGAAGTGTCTTGCTAATCATTAAATAAAATATGATTCGAGGAGCATAGATAGCAATGCCATTGATGTAAAAAATGCATAATTTTTGAACTGTGGTCACTGTGTGGTTGCAATTCAAAGGCTAATAACAGTAAGGGATACAAGCTACATCATCAACTAGCAACATTTAAATGGAAACAATTATTCCAATATAGAGAAAGGAAATAAAATTTTAGACTAAAAGTTGGAGAAAGCTAGGTTCTAGGTTGAGCTTGCTCACAAATAGTTGTGTCTTCTTAAACGAAACACTAAACTGTACTACAGTTTAGTAAATCATAAATTAAGAATATTGAACTTGATCTTTTCCAAGGTCTGTTTTATGTCTAAGATCAGAAATGACAAAAATTCAATTAATTATATGTTTGAATAGACAAATTTTTAAAATCGGTTCATAAATCTTAAGGGGAATTGACATTTGCACATTTAATGTAAAAATATAATTATCCTAAGAAATGTTTTATCTATGTTTCTCATCTAAATATTTTAAAAGAACATCAAAAGAAACAAAATGTAGATCTATATGAAGTGGAAGAAGGAAGGGATATTTGGTAGGTGAAAAGTTAAGATTTTGTTACATGTTAAATTAAAAACAAAACTATCAATTATTTTGGTAACTTTTTAATTTGGAAAGAAGTTTCTCACATCTTTTGTGTAGCGTGTATTAACATTTTTGCTTGCTCAGAGAAGACACACATTACAACATAATATACATGTTGAGAATTCAAAAAGTAAGGAGATAGAGCTCATTTTCTGTAATTTTCCTTTTATATTTAGAAATATTAGAATAAAGAACTTATCAATGAGGACAAATGTGAGAAAATGACAAGAGTTAAAATATGGCTATTTTTTTACTTTACTAACAATAATTTTCAAATGAAGATTCAATAGAAAGGAAGGTAGAAAAATCTGGAAAAGGTTTTATTTGGAAAGAAGTTTTAGTAGAAATGTATAATTTAGCCATTGCTTCTCTTTATGCTTTGCCTCAGCTATGGACAGCCCTCATTACAAGATGAACTTAAAGACAATACCACTGTCTTCACCAGGATTTTGGACAGGCTCCTAGATGGTTACGACAATCGCCTAAGACCAGGATTGGGAGGTGGGTTGCATTATTATATTTTTGTTTTAGAGAATAATATTAAATCTTTACTATTACAATATTGCCTTTCCTCTAAATAGTCAAGTAATAAGAATGGAAGCATGTAGTTTAATGATGAATTCTATTTTTAATAGGTCACTCTATGTTAATTCAATTTACTATGGTAGTTTCACGTACGTACGTGTATGTAGTAAAAGGCAGACAGGAAATTCTCATAATGACATGAAGAAGTTGTTACGTTTATTTGACAAGCAAAATGTTTTCTGTGCAATGATTTGATTGCACAGGGAAAAATGGGGATAATATTTTCCCTTCCAGCACAAAGACTGCATCTACCTCACCTAGTACTGCTATGTCTGCATTGAATTCCAACACGATATCTCTAATTCTATTGCGCTATACATTTATTTTGAAAAATTACATACCAATCCACTATTTTGTGTTAGATTACCATCACCTCTAGGATAATAGGTGAATGAGAGAAATGGCAATGAGTTTTTATAACTATACATTTAAACTTACATCCTAATTTTTGGTAATAAAATTTTATTTTTTTTAGTATATTAATTAATTAGTTATACTGATGAATTTCTGCTGAGGAAGAAAATAGTACTTAATAAGACAATACGTATAACAATAAGAATAAATAATTCTAGAAATTGAACACTATTTGAAGAACCTTTGAATAAAATAATCAAACTATCTTATTTGGTTAAACAAAGACTAATGAAGGCAAATCAAAATATTGATCTTAGAGTAAAACAAGCGAAGCAAGGAAATAAATTATCGTTCAAAGTCACACAGGAAATCAAGGTTAGAATCTATGACTCCCAGCTATAGCTAATACTGTACCTTTTCCAAAGCATTTATAGAAAGCATTTAATAGCAATATTTAAATAGTAATTAAATGGCAATATTAACAAAGCCACCTCTTCATTGTTTAGACATCACAAATAAGCAAAGAATAAAACTGATTTTGCAACACAATGGCAGCATGAATTTAGAGTCACTTAAAAATATTTGGCATAGTGTAATCACGTGGATGTACATCATGGGTCTATTTTGAGGCTGCTAAAGGTCGTTAGTATCTCAGAGGTTTAAGGGGAACTGCCTTGTCAAAGACACAACTCAAATATATGTCAAAGGTTTCACCAGGTGTCTTTTCTAATCAATTTCAAACATTCCCTTCAGGACATGCTATACGAATTTCTTCAGGTTTAGGCTTCACCTAGTTTACATTTACGTTTTTAGAAAGAAATCTTTAAGTCAAAATAGGGTGGTCACAAAAGGGAGAGCATAATTGTGTACATGTTATAAAATGTCTGTGTACATTTAAACACCCGGATTGGCTTCAAAAATTATTCTTGATTCAAAAAATTGTAATAAATTACAAAGACTAGCTAGAGGAGGAATGTATAGAAAGAAGAAATAGGTTAGTGACATAACTTTTAAAAAGCAAGACTTTTTTATTTTTATTTCAGCATATTATGGGGGTACAGATGTTTAGGTTATGTATGTTGCCCTTCCCTCCTCCAAGTCTGAGTTTCAAGTATGTCCATCCTTTGGGTGGTGCGCATTGCACCCTTAAAAAGCAAGACTGATCTGAATGTATCTGATTCCTTTACCGAATCTCCTTCCTCCTCTGTGATTACATTCTCTATAAAATCAGCAGAATTTTATAACATAGCTAAACATTCTCTTTCCCCTGGTTTAGGAAATATTAGTTAATGTTCTGACATGTGAATATGAGTATCCCTGGAAAGATCTGTGCATAGTTTTCAATTTGTTAAAGAATTTTTTGTATACAAACACATACATTCTTTAATGAACAGCTGTGTGGTTGTATTTTGTTCGGAGTACAAGTAACAACCCATGACTGCTCATTTTCATTTAACTGTATACAATAACTCTTTAATAAATGTATATATTAAATCTACAATCAAGCATAGTTCAAGCAAAGATCATTTTGACTAATCATCATATGCAGACCTAGACCATGGAGAGCTATGGACCTTGAGAATGTATAAATGAGACTAAAAGTAGTTAGAAAAGCCAATTTTCAATACTTGAGATACTGGTAGATTTGCTTACAGAGATAATTATATTAATTCATACTGTAACTTTTTTATTTTTGTAGAATCTACTTTATTATCTGTTTAATACCAGAAAATAACAAATATAGACCTGCATTTAAAGAGTAGAAATAGTAGTTAGCCAAATATAGACAAGGTATTTTCTTTTTATTGAAATGAATACAACGTGCTATAGTGGTACAGAATTCCAGGACTTGAGTAAATTAAAACAGTGGATGCACTTTAGATTTTACTGAAGACGATTTTCTGATATTTCTGATTCTTGGAAACATTGATTTTGAGAATATGATAGACATTAAAACAAAAATGTTGCTCAAATATTTTCTCCTTTTATTTTAAATATCCTACTGGAATGTAGCACAATTAAATGTGATAGATTTGAGATTTGTGAAAAAGCTTTAGTACTGACTAAAGTATTTTTTTAATAATTTTTGGAGCACATTTTTTAATCCTTATGGGATAGAATGGTATGCGTTTATCACTTATATCTACAGAATCATCAACATTTTAAGTACATTTTGAGAATGTCTGAGACATTAAAACAAAAATGTTGCTCAAATATTTTCTCCTTTTATTTTAAATATCCTACTAGAATGTAGCACAATTAAATGTGATAGATTTGAGATTTATGAAAAAGCTTTAGTACTGACCAAAGTATTTTTTTAATAATTTTTGGAGCACATTTTTTAATCCTTATGGGATAGAATGGTATGTGTTTATCACTTATATCTACAGAATCATCAACATTTTAAGTACATTTTGAGAATGTCTGTGTCATTAAAGAACTATAGTTTAAAATACTAAATATAGTTTTAAGAGCTTTTTAAGACATAATCAGCTATAGAATTAGAGAAACATATTAACACCATGGTTGCTAGCTGCTATAAATTGAATTTATCTTTTTTTTCAAATTTGAAGTATTTAATTTCATTCCTTTACCAT